AYATTTCCTAACAATAGGGAGCGGAAACAGCGAGTGGCTTTTAAGAGAGAAAAAAAAATCTGAAATTTGCTTTTTTCCTGCACTTCTCAGGGAGATTGGGTGATGTGGAAATGAGTCAGTGAAGAAGGAAGGAAATACCRTGTTTAGCCTAAAATAGGAAGGGTTTAGGAGCAGCTTTTTGTGGCCTCAACCCCAAATTCACCTCTCCCTCCTTGCTCTCCTTGTCCTGTTGTTGTTTGGTCTCAGGACAAATTGAAGGGATGAACTTTAACCTCTTAGGAGGATAATTTATTAAAATACCAGATGCTGCAGAATGGGGCCTGGGTTGATCTGCAGTTCTTAAGGAAGATTAACAACCTGAGAGTTCACAAATCGGGGTCCCGCTTCCGACCTCGGCTTGTGGGGAGGACAAAGACACTGCTCAGATCCTGCCTGTAATTCACTAAAAAAAACTGATTTCAACCAGAACAGGATCCATAATATGCAAATCAGGAATAATTCCATCAGGAAATAGGGAGAAACAGCGTTTGAGCAAGAAAAATTCTTCCTTTAGCACCAGAAAACAGAGGCACAAACCTCATGTGAGGCTGGGGCTGAAAACACAAATCTTGGTTTTATTAAAGCCACTCCTAACTSCTGTTTGGACGCTGAGGAAGAGCAGGAATTGCTGGATGGATTCGCTTTTCCCGGCACAAACCAGGCCCAGCAGCTGAGCAGGGGAAGAGGATGTGTAAATCCTTTAATTCTTTGTTGGCAAAAAAACAGAGAAACCCTCAGTGGAGCCCCAGGGGTCGGAGATTTGGTATTTCCAGAGCAGCACCCTCTGTATGGGAATGTGGGGATGTTTATGGATCCTGGGTAGAAATCCCATCAAGCACCTTGGGGTTTTGTTGGTCAGACAAATAAAAATCCCAAAGTCCTCGCCGCGCTCGGATAAATTGGATAAATGGCTGTGATTTACTCCTTTTACCAAGGAACAGTGTTTCTAAAACCCAGAGAAAATTGAGATTGTATAAAATTCGCTGTTGTAAAACCCACTGAAGATTTTCCACTATYGCAAAACCCACAGAAAATTTCCTGCTGTTCCGCCTCGCTCTCTTGAGATTTAAAAAAAAACCCAGTAATTGATTGGCAAACGAAGGAAAATGATGGAAAACGTGTCAAAACCCGGCTTTTTTTTTTAATTTCGGGATCCCCAACCCATAAGAGGCACTGAGCCCATCCCATGGAATTGTGCTCTTCCTTGGAATTCTGTTTTTGCCCGTTCCTCCAGGCTGGGGAGATAATCAGGCACAGCCTGCTGGGCTTGGCTGCTGCTTTATTGCCTCGGCGATTCCTCTGACACCTCAGGGTGACTGATGGCTCCCAGATCCGCTCCCCACGGGTTTGTTCCCATTCCAGCAGCGATTTTACTGGGATGGAAATTAATTTTGCTGCAAAAAGAACAGCAGAGGATTCCCCAGAACTTAGCGAGTGTTCCCTCCGTGCCGTAATCCCTCTTTGTGTCTGTCACAAAGAGATCCTGCGAGAGGCTGCGATTCCGCTGCCGAATCCCGCGGCTGCTCAACTTCCCCTCATCCCCGTGCCATGGAATTTTGGATTTATTTGATTGMAATTCTGTGTTTTGATATAAAATTCATCGGGTTTGGGAATGCTGGAGGCGCTCGAGGTCAGAACATAACCAGCTCTGCCTTTGCAGTCATGGAATTATTGAAGCTGGAAAAGACCTTTAAGGTGATCACGTCAAAAATGTTGTTRGATTTTGTTTTGATGGGATTGGAGTAGGATTTTCCCTATCAAAAGGCTGAGGTTTTTTTTTATTTTTTAATATATAATCTCTGAACTGTTGCTGTGAACCTCAACTCCTGATGGTTGGTGATAAATGGGATGCGCCGAGCGGGAAAATATCAGTGAAAGAGCTGTGAGGAAAAGCAAAAATTCATCCTGCAGGCTGGAAAAACACAGGGGGTTGTGTGGCTGGCTGTGATTAAAAGGAATGATAAGAAAATTTGGGTTCCTGGGTGTAATTCCAGAGAATTCCGGGGTTTTTTTGGAATGAATGAGGGAAAGTGGGAATCTGAGGGAAAGATGCTGATCTCTGCTCCTGCTTTTTTGGTTTAACCTGGCCCTGGTGAATTATTCCGTGGGCACAGATCCCTGTTCCTGGAGCAGGAGCAGTGGGAAATGTGAAAAGAAGCAAAAATTCTGGATTTGGGGTGAATCCCGACAGTTTGGGGATGGAAGGCACAAAAAAAGTGAATTTCTGGTGAATTTGGAGTGGTGCCACTGATTTTGTGCTGTTAAAGCTCCAGCTGAGCTGTTCCAGGRGGAATATTTGGGGTCAAACAGCTGGAAAACTTCAGGATTTGGGACATTTCCTTCTGCTGTTGCCACCCCTGTGGATGTAGAACTTTTTGGGAATTCCTGGGTTCTACCRAGTGAAATCAGAACTTTTATGGGTCAGAATCAACTCCCAGCCCTGTCCTAATTCCGTTCTTTTTCCTGCTCCAGGTTGATCATTCCATTTCTGTGTCTTTGCTGTGATTGCTTTGGTTTCTCCAGATGGGAGAATCAGGAATTTGGGAATTCTTTCCTTTTGGGATGGTTCAGGAGGGCTGGAGCTGTTCAGGAACGCTGTGAATTATATGTTAGGATTGTGTTTCCCAGCTTCTTGATGCTTTCAAAAGCGTATTTTTATCCCAAAAATAAAACCTGGATGCCTCTGGGGAGAAAGGGTAGAAGGGACTTTATGTGCTCGAATAAATAGAGAAATTAATTYCTAGAAATCCAGGAATTAAGGCACAAAAAGCATTTTAACAATGGTTTTTAGCTTTCAGGCTCTTTAAATAGTAATTCCCACATTTTCAGGGACCTGTAGAACATGGATTTTGTTTATTTATTTATTTTGCAATGACCCTAAAGAATATCTAGAGCTGAGTTTAAAATCTAAAGCCAAGAGGTGAAAATTAAAAATACAGCTACTTGAGGTTTTAGTCACTTTTATTCRTCTCTTAGATGAGAAACTGAGTTAGGCTTCATAAAAATGTTTATATTTAAT